GGTCCTCTTAAAGGAGTGCTCAAACTGCTCGATTTTCAAATGCTCTGGAAAATACTTATTTATGTGATCTTATAAACTGATCTTCTTAAGCTGACGCGAGGTTGGTACAGATCTTCGTTGTCGTTGTTTTTGATGTTATTGAACGATGGCTGACGTTTCGGCGACTTCGCCTTCCTCAGAGCCTGGACGTACTTTATGTTAGAATACTTTTTATTATTCGGTGGAAAAGAAGGTTGAAGTATTAATGAAGATCAAACTTTCAAATAGACGCCATATTGAACAGAAAGGCCACTCACCGTGATGTTACGTGCGGGACTGGCCCACACGTAGTTCACGCGAGCAAGACACGCCCGGGGTCAAAATATCATTTTGAAATAGGGCGCCAGGTCATGCGTGATAGTGAGGCATTCGTCCTTCCGGTCCATCTTTGGATTTTTGAAATTTATCCAAAATGCCTCAAGAGTTTTGCACCTCGACGTTTCGATTCCCGCGCTAGGATCCGCACATTCACTTCAAAATCATCGCCGTTGTGCTTTTAGAGTAGAGATCGAGAATAGAGGCTTCTATCTCGAAACACGAAAAATAGCCATTTCTAATGGCTACGAAGTAAAAGCCACTCGGGTTAGACAAAAACGTTTCCAAAATAATGTTTCAGACCTAAGTAAGATCCCCTCTAAGCCACCCTTCATATCAAATGGAGTAAGTCACTCCATCCCTCCCAATACCCTACGCCATCAGTTAGTTCGAAACCGTCTCTGTGATCGCTTGTGCAGCTCAGAAAACTGTATGATCTGTCCTAACGGGAGAGACGGAGATTGCATGAGTTTAGGTATAATGTACTTGATTTCATGTAATGCACGCGGCGAGGAATATATCGGGGAAACGGGTAGACCACTTTGTGTACGCATAAAAGAGCATCTAGGTGGGAAAGCTAAAATCCGTTTAAACACCCCTCTAGGTACGCATAGGGGACAGAAGCACAACGGCGATGATTTTGAAGTGAATGTGCGGATCCTAGCAGGAATCAAAAACACCAACGCGCAAAACTCTTGAGGCGTTTCGGATAAATTTCAAAAATCCAAAGACTAACCGGAAGGACGAATGCCTCACTATCACGCGTGACCTGGCGCCCTATTTCAAAATGATATTTTGACCTTGGGGTGTGTTTTGCTCGCGACCCCACGTGAACTACGTGTGGGACAGTCCCACAGGTAACATCACGGTGAGTGGCCTTTCTGTTCAATATAGCGTCTATTTGAAAATTTGAAAGTTTGATCTTCATTAATACTTTAACCTTTTCTCCACCGAATAATAAAAATATTCTAATATAAGATACGTCCAGGCACTGAGGAAGGCGAAGTCGGCGAAACATCAGCCATCGACCAGCGACATAAACAACAACGACAACGAAGACCTGTACCAACCTCGTGTCAACTTAAGAAGATCGTTTATAAGATCATATAAATAAATAGTGCTATCAACTGCTGAATCGAGAAGCCGTACATGTTTATTGCTCCTTCGTGTTGTACAAGGAGCTCGCAGATGGCTTGCATACCGGAGTCATTCGACACGTTCGTATAGAGGGCAGTAACGTCGAAAGTGACTTGGGAGTTAATGGAGGAGAATCACGCAATGAACTATGCCAATGCAACTAGAAAACACGAATACTTCAGCGCCAGGATGAATTGACTGTTTCATTTCGCCTAAATAGGAGTACCTAGGGTTATACCTAAGTTTGCTTTTTCGATGGTACGTCTGAACATTCCAACGACCCAAACGAACGAATTCCACGCGAAACCGCACGTGTGTGGCGTCAGCGCCGAAAAGCGAACGAGCCAAACGGACGAATTCCACGCGAAACCGCACAGGTGAGGCGGCAACGACGTGAAATAAACGAGCCAAACGGACGAAATCCACGCGAAACCGCACGGTTGAGGCATCAGCGACGAGAAATGAACGAGGCAAACGTCATTGGGACCGGCTGTGACGAACACAGGCACGACGTCCCTTCTTATACCTGCAGATCGCATTAAATTTCATGTGAGCGCATCACAAGAAACAAAAATCAAGAAGACCGACATACGCCAACTAAACAACGGAGCCCTTGTGATCCGTGGAGAAAATTTCTCGTCACGAAATGTCGGTGGTGTAGGCTATGTCGTCCATCCGTTTATTGTCCATCTCGTTGACTCATGCGTGATTCTTTCCCCTCGCATAGCCGTCCTCCGTCTTCAACTTTTGCGTAATATGAGGATCACTATCACCAACTGCTACTCACCGACCGACGCAGCTCATCAGTACGAATCAAATGCCTTCTACTATCAGTTGGTGGAAGTCATCCGCAGTGAATAAGCATATCATAAATTTCTTGTTGGAAACTTCTACGCCAGAATGGAAAAGCTCAACGAGAGCGAATAAGGATCAAAAATTTTGGATTAGGAGAAAGAAGTGGGAATGGAAACCGTCTCGAAGCACCCCTGTCAACAGCACGTCTCTTCCATGGAAACACGTTTTTCCAGAAGCAAGAAAGCCGCTGCTGGACATGGGAATCTCCCAACGGCATGAATTATGCGTAGATCGACCATATTCTGACAAACAGACTACTTGTGGCAAAAAGATCGATAGAAATAGCTGAGAGACAGGCGAAACGAAGGACCCGCATGGTGTGGTGGTGAACGCGTTACTCCGTGGAAAGGACAATAACGCGTTCGTTCCCCATCATAGACACCTGTGGTCCAGAGTTTTGCAAATATCTCAGCAATGTTGTGGTTGTATTTCGCTTAGTAACCTGCCATAAAAATTATAGAAGGCAGAAAACAAAACAAACATTGAAGATGGGATCGTCAAAACTTCCCGCCATGATATGGAATTAATAGCGGAAACGTTCTACACCAACCTTTTCCGTTCCACAATCCCCGTCTCAGGCCCTAATACCCCCACTGGAGAAAAGCCACCTGGAATTCTTCCATTAGAGGTTCGAGTTGCGATAGAAAGCATGAAAAGAGGCACAGCTCTAGGACTCGATAATATCACTGCCGATTTCCTTAGAGCTGGAGGCCACAATTTACATATACTTTTCGCAGATTATGACAGGCTACCTTCAAAAGGAAAAAATCCCAGACCAGTGGAGGACGTCGCGCACGATAATCCTGCCCAAGAAAAGACACCGAAGAGATCTTCGTAACTATCGTCCCATATGCTTGTTAAGTGTACCCTACAAGCTCTTCACGAAGATTATCCGCTTGCGTGTATCAAGGACATTGGATGAGGCTCAACTAGTCGAGCGAGCAGTATTTCGAAAAGGATTTTGCGGCATGGACCACATCCAAACCGTATCCAGGGTCATCGAACTTTGTCGGGAATACCACTTGCCTCTAGTCCTAACCTTTGTCGACTATGAGAAAGCGTTTAACAGTGTCGAAACAAATGCAATCCTATCATCGCTCGTCGACCAAAGAGTGGACCCGTCCTACATAAGGATTCGATCCGAGTGTTATCGGAACTACACGAAAATATTGCTTTTCCATCGATCTCTTGCAATACGAATAGGAAAAGGGGTTTGACAGGGCAACACAACATCGCCAAAGCTGTTCAGTGCCGCACCGCAGTGGATAATTGAGTCACTCGATTGGGATGAGAAAGGCATATGCATTGATGGAAAATTCCTATCAAGCCTTCGTTTTGCCGACGACACTGTCATCTTCTCAAAAAGTACTAGCAAAGCAGAGATGATGATCAACGAGTTCAACGAAACGGGGAAAAAGATAGGACTGTGCATAAATCGAAAGAAGACCCAGTTCATGAAAAACGCATGGTGCAAAGGCGAAAAAATTGGATTGGGTGGCTCTCTCATTGCCGAGACCACCTCGTACGTTTACCTCGGCGATCAATGAACATGGAAAACAACATGAAGGAAAAACAAGATAGAAAAAGGAGAGCAGCTTGGGCCGCATTCGGGCCTATCAAAGAAGCCACGGACTAACTGAAGAACCCGAAAATCCGCGCTCATCTCTTTGATTCTACGGTCCTCCTAGCACTCTATTATGCTGCAGAGACGTAGATTGAGACTTCAGCTACGTCAAGAATGCTTCGAACTGCTCACAGAATGCTTTAGGGATGTCTTCTGAAATATAACCGGCACTCTGAATATGTAGCCTTAATGCGAAGCTCTGACCGTCGAAATCTGTGACATCTTCGTGATCCAGGAGAATATAAATCGACAGCGAAACATAGATGGGCTGGTCATATAATTAGAAGAACAGACGACAGATGGACGAAAAGAACAGTAGAGTGGACTCCAAGAAAATGCAAACGTCGCCTTGGACGACCACCTACACGTTAGGTGGACGTGTTCGTAAACAAAGTTAATCAGCTGTACCTGCAGCTGCAGTTGTTTTACAGATCACGGTATGAGACTCACATGCACTACCTTGCTTGAACAGGACCACCACTATGGACTACGATTGCGAGAAAAAGGAGCGAATGGCATACGTGCTGGGGTCCGCACAGCTCGTGAAGACGGACCGTCCAAGTATCCAATTAACTAAGTAAACATATTTCAGCTCACCTCAAGGGCACCCAAGTGTTCATAGAACATCTACGTAATGCGTCTCCTAACAACACGTGCGTGATGGATTCCTTCCACGTTACCGCGCTTTACACCTACGTACTGAATGACTCCGCATTGCATGCTATCTTCGAACGTCTTGTTGAACATGAAGAAAGAATAAATATACATGGCTTGTCCATCCATCAGCTTATGGCTTTCTTAAAGAAGTGCCTAAACTGCTCGACTTTCAGAACGTCTGGGAAATATTTCGTGCAAATGAGGGAGTAGGCAATGGGACGGCGACTGAAACTGAGCCTTGCCATTGCGTTTGTGTCTAAAGTAGAAGCCCCGGTCCTCGGTTTTCGGCTGCTACTATACTGCAGACACATAGATGATTTTTTCTTATCTTCTCTACGCAAGAGGAGATGGACAAGTGCATTGAATTAATGAACTAGCAGCCTGAGTATATTAAGTCCACCCTGGAGAAACCGAGAAAAAACTCGTTTCCGTTTCTAAACGTTTGCATTCTCCCGGAGTCGGCCCGGAGTGGAGTCTGCCGCCTGACCTGTGCGGTTACGCGTGGAATTCGTTCGTTTGGCTCGTTCATTTCACGTCCTTCCCGCCTCACCTGTGTGGTTTCGCATTTAATTCGTCCGTTTGGGTCGCCCATTTCACGTAGGTGCCGCCTCACCTGTGCTGTTTCGCGTGGAATTCGTCTGTTTGGGTTGTCCATTTCACTTAGTCGCCGCCTCGCCTGTGATTCGCGTAGAATTCGCCCATTTGGCCGGTTAATTTCACGTCGTTGCCGCCTCACCTGTGCGGTTTCGCGTGGAATTCGTCCGTTTGGGTCGTCCATTTCACGTCGTTCGCACCTCACCTGTGCGGTTTCGCGTGGAATCCGTCCATTTGACTGGTTAATTTCACGTCGTTCCCGCCTCACCTGTTCAGTTTTGCATTTGATTCGTCCGTTTATCTCGTTCATTTCTCGTCGTTTCCGCCTCACCTGCGCTGATTCGCGTGGAATTCGTCCGTCTGGCTCGCCCATTTTTCGGCTCTGACGCCGCACATGTGCGGTTTCGCGTGGAATTCCTCCGTTTGGGTCGCCCATTTCACGTCGTTGCCGCCTCACCTGTGCGGTTTCGCGTGGAATTCGTCCGTTTGGGTCGTCCATTTCACTTAGGTGCCGCCTCGCCT